TAGATAGATAGATAGATAGATAGATAGATAGATAGATAGATAGATAGATAGATAGATATAGAAGGCAATAGTCTTATGCAACAACTATATACACTTATCAACATCATCTCCTAGATATTCAGATACTCTCCATAGTGATAATATCATTATTTCAGTTATACTTACAAGTCATAAATAACTGAGTTAACTGTTGACCCATACACACACATGCACAAAAGTGATTAACCTTCCCAAAGGATTGAAGTAATATTTGAATAAGGAAGAAGCACAATCTGTATTCAGGTCAATAGCTTAAATGATCCTTTTAATGATGTAAGTAATTTTCTTTCTTTCCCTCCATTAGGTAGAAAATGGTCAGATGTGGATATCTACTGTGAAGACTTAGAATCGGACACCTACAACTTCATTTTTTTAATACCATTTCAGGATGTAAATATGCTTTGACCTTTCCCCGATGGGCAGTTAAACCATGGACAAGCTAAAAAACTCACTTTGGACTGTTTTTCTAAACGAGGCTTTGCCTTCTTCCTTCAGTGCCCAATAAGGGATTACAGTTGATAAGGGAAAGAAAGAAAATCCTTGAACTGGAAAGTTATCCTACAATGAGAATTACGAGTACATCTTGCATCTGCCCAGTCCTAGTTTGTCTCTGTTTTGTGCAGAGGTGTTATGGGGCTGCTCATCACAGCTCCATTAAGGTGACCAGAAATCAAACCAAACACATAGAGGGTGAAACAGAAGTCCACCATCGCCCCAAACGTGGATGGGTGTGGAACCAATTCTTCGTTTTAGAAGAACACATGGGACCAGATCCTCAATATGTGGGAAAAGTAAGTTATGGGGACTTGAGTTGGGCAGAAAATGATTGTGAAAAGGGGAAGGGGTAGAAGACAATGAATTAGGAGATGGTTTCCCTAACACAAGCTGCTGCACAACTCAGAAAAAAGATTAGACACAATGGGTCATTGCCCATGATATCACATCATGACAAAAGGTGTCTCACAGAATATTTCTTGTTTTTCTTTGTTCTTCCCTATATAAATAAATAAATACCTTTTTGAACTCATAATTCAGTGATTACAGGATTAATCCTCAGGTTTAACACTTTGCAAGAGAAACTTACTGTTTTTATATAAACGATGCTTATTTACTACATTTTTTCCCCTTCTTAACTTATTCATTAGCTACCAATAGCCATCTAACACATCTAATAACATATGAAATTAAATTTATTTGGAGCTAGCAAATCTGGATTTATAACAAAGGGCATTGCATTACAAAATTTTAAGTATTTTTTGTTAAATTTCTGAAGAGAATATTCTATGATTACACTCATGTGCCCTATCTCAGTGATAGAATGGTATTTAAAATGCTGATGCATGATATATATGAATTTGTAGATGAAAAAAACAGATTTTGTTTTCCCATCTCAAAAGAATGTTATTAAACAATTAGGTAATTTGCCTTTCTTCAGAGCAGTGTTTACTTTTACTACAAAATCAGCAGAGTCCAGTGATACTTAAAAAGTGATACTTCAAATCAAGCCACAAATTCTGATATAGTCGAAAGAAAATTAATTATAGTCAGGAAGCCTGGATTTGATTACAGTTTCTAAATATTAGGGGGAAAAAAATCTTTGTGATTTGGATCAGATAGCTTAATCTCCTCTTGTGAATTGTACACAGTGATACCTATAACTAGTTTCCCCTAGCCCACATCAATCATGAGCAAAGGTATCAATTATTTTGTAAAAGTATAAACTCTTCTTCATTGTTATTTTGAACCTTATATATTTGATATTTTAGGAATGCATAATAGCATCAGGAATGTGCTTTCCACTACAAAGATGAATGTGTGTGGAAGAAGGAGGATTTTGGTGGGGGAGGGCTATCTCAGCATCATTCCTATCTCTCCATTCCCTTAGGCACTCAAGTTTATCCCAGAAAACAATTTCTAGGATCTGAGCTGTAACTGGCAATGTTGGAAGTTAAGGGAAATTCATTTGGGAAGTGGTATAGACCTCAGGATACTGACCTGAGGGTGGCAGGGTCACCACAACACTTGTAGGCCACTGCTTGGAAAAGTGTTCTGAGAAAGGAGCAGGATGAAGCAGCTAGGAAGGTGTTCAGCTACATATGGTCATAAACATGAAGGGTTGAAAGAAACACATCAGCTCCCCATTTCAATTGATTGTTCTTACTATCATTGAATCATAGATCATAATGAAGTCATAAATTTAAGGAAATTTTTTCCAATCCTTAATTCTAGTGATTTATATTTTAATTATTTATTTATCCCGTATATATCTTATTTTTACATTTATTTATTTATCTGCTTGTTTGTTTATTTATTTTGCTTCCCAATTAGACTGTGAAATCTTTGAGAAAAGAGACTGTCTTTTGCCTTTCTTTGTGTCATCAGCACTTAGTACAGCGCCTGGCACATAGTAGGCATTTCATAAATGTTTATTGACTAATTCATGGATTAAAGCTGGAAAAGACCTTGGGGGCTGTTGCAGTCTGACAGGTTGAGACCCCTCAAAGACTAGAGTATAGCACGGGGTAGTCTGGAATAAATTCACAGACTCAAGCATTTTTTAAGTCAAGTTGGCAAAAAGTTTATTGTTACGCTTTTCAGTGGGGCAAGGATTCTTAAGGAACCTGCATCCTTAGAGGGGTACAGTTAAAGTTTGTATAGGATAAAATATAATAAAACATGTGTCAAATATGATAACTAGGTGATTCAGGGTGGGGATTAGGAAGTAGTTAAGGATTGGTCAATTCTTAAAGGAACATGCACTTCTTGTATCTACTGTGCAGGCGTTTTACCCAGAGTTCACTAGAAAAAGTCCATGAGGGGGGCTGCACGGAGGTGTGGTTTTAGGCCTGCTACATCACTAAGTTAACTAGAGTTCAGCGGTAACTGAGAATTGTCCAGTCTGCCACCAGTCAATGTCTTGTTTGACAAGATAGATGTAGGGAGGATACATGTGTCTTAGGTCTAGAATACAGATAATGAGGAGTCCAGGATGTAGATAATGAGGTAGGGCGGTAATATAGATAGTTCAGTGGGTAAGAATATCTTTATGACCCAGTGCAAAGCCAGTTCAAACTAATAATTCCTTCGCGTGCTGTTTGTAACTGCACCAGGGAAAGAGATAAGGGTCTTGCTGGGGCCCAATCATGAGTAATTGCTAGGCACAGTGTCTTTGGGCTGGGGAGAAACTGCCAGAGACAATGTTTCTGAGACTAGGGAGAACTTGGGATCCAAGTACAAGCACAAGCACCCAAATACAAGCACCCAAACACCCCATCAGAGCCACCTAGTACAATGCTCTTATTTTACAGATGAGGAAACTGAGGACCAGAGAGCCTAAATTATTTCCCCAAGGTCCTTGCTCTTGGCAGAGCTAGAATTTAAAGCAAGGAAATTGTTCTGACTCAAAAGCAAGCTTTCTGAGCTAAGCCATGTCTGTATTAGGAAAGGAAATCAAGTGCTCCCATCTGAATTTCAGCGCCCTGGAATAGTGCTGATATGGTCTTGCCCTAGTAACTGAGACTAGGATTTCAGTGCAGCTGTATTATTATTTTCTAATGGGTGAAAATAAAAACTGAAATTAGAACTCAGACAATCATAGAATCTTAGAATTGTAAGGAGCCTCTGAGGTCATAATGGTTGATCTATATTTAAGTAACAAAGCTAATGTTTATACAGGGTTTTAAGGTTTCCAAAGGGCTTAGCAAATATTATCTCATTTGGTCTCCACAATAAACCCAGGAAGTAATGCTATTATTATCCCTGTTTTAGAATTGTGAAACTGAAGCAGATGGAGGTTGAATGACTTGCCCATGGTCACACAGCTAACAAGTGTTTGAAGGCTAGATTTCAACTCAGGTTTTCCCTGGCTCCTCCTGCAGCATTCTATCCACTATAACACTTATCCACCTTGCGTCTTCAACAGCTTCAAAGAGTGACCATCTCTTCTTCTTGAAAACATGTAGTAATAGGGAAGTCACTAACAAAGCAATACAAAGTAGTCTTAGTTCTACTTATTAAAAAGTGTTCTTATGCCACGTCAAAATCTCTCTGAAACTTCAATCCATTGATACTAATTCTGCCTACTGGGCCCAGCATTACAAGTCTGATCCTTTCCTTCCATTACATTCCTTGAATTATTTGAAGATGGCTATTGTGTCACCCTCTTAAGTCTTTTTCATTCTAAGCTCAGCTTCCCCAGTTCTTTCAGGTAGGCTTCAAGTGGCATCATTTTGAATTCCTTCTCCATCTTCTTCACTTTCCTCTAGATTTACTACAGACTGGGAGTGTCTTTACTTAAGTGTGTTATCTATAACTGAAGATAATACTCCAGATGTGGTCTGACCAAGGCAGAATGCAGGGGAACTGTTGCATCACTTACCATCTATACTATTTAATGCAACCTAATATTGCACTCTTTTTCTTTTTAAAGGTTGTGACATATTAAACATGCAGACAACTAAAATCTCATTTAGGGCTTGTGTGTTCTTTTGTTTGTTTTTATCATATGGACTGGCTCTGCTGTTTGCATTCTGTATGTTGAGCTACTGAGATTTTTGAACCTAGGCCTATGATTTTGCATTGTTCTTTATTCAATTTCATTTTTGTTTTATGAGTTATTTTCATCCAAGAAATGAATTAAAGAAATTGCATTGCATTTGATGTAGCCCATTGAGCTAACCTGTCAAGCTTCTCCTTGGATATTCATTCTGTCACCTGGTCTATTAGGTATCTGTCCTTCCCAGTTTTCTATCCCCACCCCACCCCAGTTTGGTAAGTATATCATCTATACCACATGGTATAATTGGAAGGGCACTAGATTTTTAGTTAAAAGACAAAGGCTTGAAGCAAGACCCTGGTACTTACTATCTATATAATCACTGGGTCCCATTTTCCTCATACATAAAAATTTGGGGTGAGATGTGTTTTCTACCTCTAAATCCTATGACCATCCAAGAAAATAATGAATAGGTCAAAGACAGATCCTTGGTTATTCTGTTAGAATAAACTTCTTCCATCCTGACATCAAACCATTAAAAAGAATAAGGCTAATGATCACTCAAATTCTTTTCTCTTTTTCATGGGTTTTCTACCTTGGAACCATGGTAGACACCTACCTAAATCTAAAGTCCTTATCTTAAATCTAAATCTAAAACTCTAAAGTCTTATCAAAGGGACTTATCAGTCACATGTGAATAAGTGAACCAGAATAGAAACAGTATGATTCCTCTCAGTCCTGCCTTAGGTAAACCCCTTAGCCAATATTCAAAAAGGCATGGTGGAATAGGCCAAGATTCAATTGTATGTTCTTTTCATAGATATTAGATTTAGAGTAGGATGGAACTTTAGAGACTATGTAGGCCAGAGTTCCCATTTTACAGATAAGAAAATTGAGGAAGAGAGAGGTAAAGTGAATTATTTAAGGTTACACAGAAGATAAGTGGCAACAGCCAGGATTTGAATTGAAGTCATACTTGGGAATTTCTCCACTGTGATCACTTTATTTCTCACACTCAAATAATTTACACATAATACAATTATGTTCATTGTTACTGTTTTATACCAAAGTATAATGGAATAAAAAGACAGGAAAGTGAAAAAGAAAATCTGATTTTCCTTCTACAGTTTTCCTTTGTGTTTCTATAGGTGTCTGAAATTCTCAAAAATATTTAATCTTCAAGAAAGTATATCTCTTTTCCCTACAAAGTATACCATGAAAGGAATGGAAACTAAAGAATAATAACTCAAAATATTTTTTTATAGTTACTAAAAGAAAATATCAAGTGGAGTGTTG